TCTCTCTCTCTCTCTCTCTCTCTCTCTCTCTCTCTCTCTCTCTCTCTCTCTTAGTCTTCTCCTTTGTTGTGGTCTCCTCGCAGGTGCGCGGCGGCTCCTTCCTCCTCAGGTCCGCTATGGCGGACTTCTCCTTCCAGCGGCCACCTCAGCTATGGCGCATCGGCCCTGCACACGACGGCGCGCATGGGATAGCGGGAACCAGCTCTGATACCAGTGCAATCAGACTCGACTTATTCACACTTTTTCATGCACGTGAACAACAACGACATGCGCCCATACACTACACAGAGATATGACTTCCTGGTAAGTTCACTCTCACTGACTATGGCGACTGAGCGCCCAACATCCATTGTTCACACCCTGGATCACCCTGGATATCCCACACTCGATACTCTGCACCCTCACATCACGCACACACACACACTACTATAGCTATGGAAGCGCTGGCTGCCACTACCCTATCGCTATTCTACACTTCTCTGCCCACTTCAACTTCGGGCACACTGCAGACCTCCTTGCACAAGACGCCGAGGCAGAGCTTCCGCATGGCTTCCGCAGGAATGAATGAATGGCTGGGCGCGGCCTCTTGATTTATACTTCTGGGATGCGTTGGTCTGCTCTGTAACCCTGACCCCCTCGTGCACACAGTCCCAGACGGTACTTGGTCGACAGGACCGAACTGACTGGACTGGGACTGTTGACTCAGCGTGGTGGACCTACAACACTTGACCACTTGCCTCTACCGAAACAGGGGCTGACTCCGAAAGGCCACTTCTAGAAACTTCTACTTTGCCCTTTCGGGACTGTAGCAGTTACGACTCTGCCCTTTCAGGTAAGTAGCAGCTACGACTTTGACCCTTCGGACAGTCWACAGCTAAGACCTCTAGACTCCCTGGACTTCTACCCGACAGGTCTACAATTCGAATCCCTTCTACCCTGTAACCTACGAGATCTTACCTACCACTGGCGGTCCTACAGGTCGCAGGTTCAAATCTACGGGTTGACACAGTTACTGTACAGAGGTGAGGCGGGGAACTAGGGATCGAGCCTTGGAATCTGCATTAGCTACTGCGAAGTGGTGAATACCGTTTCATCTTTTTAATTCAGATTTTATTGAGATATGGCCCCAAGGGCCATATCTCTGCAATCCAGAATGCCCTCCTTCATTCTATGAGGGATGAGGTCACAGTTGGGACCTACCAGTCCCTATTGTGCAGGTCCCAATAGGCCGGCATACTGTCCTCCACTCTTTTCTCCCTTTTGTCTCATTCTCCCTCCTTTTTCTCTCATTTTTTTTTCTTTTCTTTTATTTCAGTTGTGACAAGTGTCAAACTGCTGTACACCCTCTTTCTAGGCCTTAGGGCCTCATTCAAGGCCAGGTTCATGACTGGTACTTGGCCGTTGTATCGCGGATTTCAACAATGGCACCCCCATGCTCCTAAAGGACTCCATTTTGCCTCCGTTTGTCCAATTTTGAGCCCCCTTTGCTCCAATTTTCTAAGGACAGCCTTTTTCTCATGTTGAGCCTCTTGAGGCTCTATTTTCTCATGCCTTGCTAGTCCGAGATATTTCGAAGCGTTTGGCAGCCCTCCCAACATCATTATTTTACTTTCCTTTCTCCTCATGACTCTCTCACTTGCCCCCCTAATGTTTACACTAGTAGCGCTAATATTTTCCACAGTCTAGATCCCTGATCTCGACGGTGCCGTTTGCTTGCACAATTATTCCTTGTGCTTGCCAATGGTTCCTTTGGGACATCTCAAGTCCCCGCCACTTTTCCTCCGTACTAGTTCCGTTTTTCGACTTTTATTATTTGGACCCACTTGGTCCTTGACAACATTCCGGATGGTGTCCCATTTTTATTTTTAGGGTCCCCTTGCCCTTGGTGGTCCCATCATCTCTACATGTGTGCCGATTTTTCTAGGTCGTGCGATCTCATCTCATGATTGCCATTTACCGTCTTCACTTGCCCCACGTCGAAATTGCTCCTTTCTAGCCTTTTGGGCTCGCCGTGGCTTATTTTCCCTTAGCCTAGGCACCCCCATGCAGTCCGTTATTTCTTAGACTGCAGTTATGGCTATTTTCCTAGTCCTACGGCCCCACAACTTGCCCCATGCTAAAAGAAAATGAAGCGTTAGATTTCTAAGTGCATCCGGGCTCAATATTGACTCCGGATGCACAAAAAACATGTGTTTCTCCTCCCCCATGTAATGCGTTATTTTTCGATTGCATGGGGCTTTTATTTTCTTTGATTTTCTCTATAAAAATCAAAGAAAAACAAACTCCATTGCAACCGCCCATTCCAGAATGAATCTGGTCACGGATGTATCTCCCCATGTGACCGTTTTTTACCGTTAAGATTTTTTTCTCTTTTCTTTTCTTTTCTCTTTTCTTTACTTTTTTTTTTCCTCCTTTCTTGGACAGTAGGGACCTGCCAGTCCCTACTTATGACAGTCCCTACTGACGGCCAACTCACTCATTCCCTCTCACTTTTTTTGTCTCATTCTCCCTTTTTTTTTTCTTATTTTTTTTTCGTAGCATGCCAAGTGTCAAGTGGTCGTTAAGGCCCTTTTCTAGCCCCTTCCTCTTAGTTTTGGTCCTTCCTATGTCGAAGGTGCAGTCCATTATATCTCGGACTGCAATGGTGGCCTTCCCACGCCCATGTGAGTTTCCTTTTCCCTCTACCTTTCTCCCACAGTGGCCCCTCCTAGGGGTCTCTTTTGACTCCATTTTCTTGAGGGAGGATGATCATAGATTTTTCGGATTGCTCCCATGCCTCCCACTTCAAGTTTCTTTACTTTTTCTTTTCTTTTCGGCCTTCCCGTTTGCTACCGCTAGTGCTTGCACTAGTGGTGCCAATATTCTTGGTCGTCAAGATCTTGATCTTGACGGTGCACCTTGCCTTTGTTATTTTCCCTCACGCGGTGCCGCCGTTTCTTCTTGGGACTTTCATATATCCCCTCCATTCGTCCCGTCGGCGCCGACACTTTGTCCCAGCGGCGGTCCCCGACACTTGGTCCCAGTGGCGGTCCCCGGTACTTAGTCCTGCCGATGGTCCTTGGCACATTTTGCCCCGAGTGCCATTATTTTTACTTAGTCCCACGTAGCCCCGGGTGCCTTTCCCCAAGGTGTCCCATGTTCCTTGGGCGCTTTGCTGCCCCACGGTGACCCTTCTCCCTTGTCTTTCTTGCGTCTTGCGTGTGTCTATTCGTTTGGTCACGGGGCTTCCAACCCGAGGCTCCCGTAGGAGGCCCCTATGTTGGGCCCTCGTTCTCCAGTTTCCCACGGCCTCCGGGGCCGTCCATCTCTCGACTTCCTCATTCTCTTGTCGCTGTCGTGCCGTGTTTGCTGGTTCAAGGGTCCTTTGGCCTTAGTCTTGTTGAGTTCCAACGACCTTCCTGGCCTCATGCTATGTTCTATGTGCCCCTGTTCTTGCACTTATTCTTTTGTCATCGCTGGTTTTCTCCTCCTATGACCCTCACCCCAGGGCATCACTCCCTCCTGTGGCCTAATCCTTTGTCTTTTCTCTCTCCTGCCTCCTCACTCCAGATTTCTCTGTTGTGCACAATTCGTCTATATTCAGTCTCTTGAGTGATGGGAAGTCATTCGAGACTCACCAGTCCAGACACATTCCCCCCACTCATTCGCGATGTCCTCATCATGCACCAATCTCTTGTTAGTGGGTTTTGGAGGGATAGACGGGAGAAGAGGATGGAATGTCATAGGTGGTTAGTTTTCCAGGCTCCGTTTTGTCTTTTCTTGTTCCTTTCTCGGATTCTTCTAGGCTTCAACCCTTGGGACGGGGAGAGGTGTCTATAATTCAAGCTTTCTTCAGACTTCTCATGTCTCATTCATCACTCTGAGAACAACAAAAACCCTTCCGTCTCGTTCACCACCCTCAGAGCATCAATCCTCCTTTCGTCTCGTTCATCACCCTCAGAGCATCAACCTCCTTTCGTCTCGTTCATCACCCTTATAGCATTAACCTCCTTTCGTCTCATTCATTACCCGAAGTACATCAAGTCTCCCTTCAACTTCCCTTTTCTTGTTGCCCCTGCTTCTCCCCGAGCCTTGCCATCCCAAGCGCCCTTTTGTTATTCCTCCATCCACCCCGTGCCAACCACGTCCCTTTTCTGGCCCCGGTTGCCCTCAGCGCTTCTTTTACTCGGCTTTCCGGCCCGTGCAATCCACGCCTCCTGTCATTCTTTCCTCAATCTCATGCTTAGCCAAATGCACATGTATTTTTTCCATGTCATTTTGTCCGGCTTTCTCTAGCCCTGCCAATTTCGCATGCATGTCACCCTCATTCGACCTTTCTTGTACCGAAGCTCTATTAATTTCAAATGCGCGTTACTTAGTCCATTTCATATGCATCTTTCTTCTGGACATCTTGCCATGCCTTTCTTAAACTCATGCAAAGTCAATTACACATATATCTCTTTTCTTAGCGTCTTGCCAGACCTTTCCTTAGGCCTACGCAAAACCAATTACACATGCCTTTCTCTTCAGGACATCCTGCTAGACCTTCTTTCAAGCCCACGCAGAGTCAATTACTCATCCATTTCTCTTCTGGACATCTTTCCAGGCCTTTTCTCAAGCCCATGCAAAGTCAATTACTCGTCCATTTCTCTTCTGGACA